AGTAGTAAGTAGTAAGTAGTAAGTAGTAAGTAGTAAGTAGTAAGTAGTAAGTAGGTAGTAGTAGTAGTAGTAGTAGTGGTAGTAGTAGTAGTAGTAGTAGGTAGTACGTAGTAGGTAGTAAGTAGTAGGTAGTAAGTAGTAGGTAGTAAGTAGTAGGTAGTAAGTAGTAGGTAGTACGTAGTAGTAGTAGTAGTAGTAGCAGTAGTAGTAGTAATAGTAGTAGTAGTAGTGGTAGTGGTAGTGGTAGTGGTAGCAGCCGCAGCAGCAGCAGCAGGTTATCTAACTTCCACAGCTCATCTAGCTTCTGAGTCACTGCCACCAGCTGTTCAGAAAGCAAATGAACATTCATGCAAAAGTACATATTTAATCTTTCGCCAGATCTTTCGCCAAAAAAAAAATTACTTTCGCCAACTCGAGAAAAAACTTTTGCCAAATGAGATTTTGATATGTTCCGGGTCATCGTCATACACACTGCTGACTAGGACCTTTAGATCGACAACCATATGTCTTTACACAAAAGAAGCTGAAGCTGTTTGGGGTCTATGCTGGCATAATTTTCCAGAAGATATTCAAAGCCTTTGGACCTCGGAAGATTGAGGTAAAGAATAACAAGACAAAACCTTTAAGCACAGTGAAGAACCATTGGACCATGAGCCTTGAGCACTTTTGTAGGACGCAGGAAACATTAGGAAACACACTAACAACATACACACATAAGAACCAATCACACATGCAATGGTCAGCAAGTCGGCACAAAAGCCAAGAGGTCAGAAAAGCCCTTAAGAGGTGGGAATCTGTTCTCCGAGAGACGTGCTCGAAACTGAGGTGAAGTCAGAACATTTTGAAGCTGAAGACATGCATCGCCCAAACCTTCCACCACCTCGCCAAAAGCGCTGCAAGCGCGGTGACGCAAAAGCGTGCAAGCCGGGCAGTGACTCATGTATCATCATGTATATAGGGTGATATGTTAAATTTTATGAGGTTGAAATCACCTGATATGTTAATAAGGTTGATATATACTGCGATCATGTATATAAGGTGATATGTATAATCTTGTTCAACAGTTTGGAACATATCAAGTCCAACTCCTTAAACCCAGGGCTCCTGCGCCTACCCCCGTTTCGAAGGTGGTTGGGGTGGGTGCCGGGCAGGTCGAGGCCCCAGGATATGGGCCAGGAGCCGTAGCGATCAAGCAACCCAAGCCACATGTGGGAGGCGCTCTGGAGCAGAACGAGCTTTGAGTTCCTCCAAGCTATGCAGCAGCGCTGTGAGATGACAATCTTGTCCTGCTAAAGCTCGCTCGATGGCCGCGTGAGCACGTGCTGACATGCGCTCAGAGGGCAAGGGCTTCTTCACCTAGGTGAGGAGACGGAGGTGAACATCGGAAACAAGACCCCAAAACAAACAGAACACTTGGACTTGCTTGAGGAACCTGGAAACAAATAAATCTTCTCCAAGAGGGGATTTAACATGATTTAACCCTATAGATCTCTATAGGGGAAAAGACATCTTAAGCAAAACCAGGAACCTGTGGGGAGTCAGACCATGGGATTCAAGAATGATCGCTTTAAACCGTGACGACTGTGGAACTGTCTCCTTTAGGCCGCTTGAGCGTCGCCTCAGGTCCACGGACGGCCGTCCGGATCGGTCCGTGTGTTCGCGACTCGGTCGCCGGTGGCGATGGGGGGGGATAGACCGAGACGATGCAGATCCTGTTCCGGAACAAAAACAAATCCCACTTCCGTTCGACCATTCAAAAGACATGGTTGAACTGGTTTTTGTAGCGTAGAATCCTCAGTTGGTTCGGGATTCAGCCTATTAGTTTAATGGTGGAAGTCTAGGGAAATGGGACAGGACAAAAACAGAGAAACACAACTTGAGGAAAGGAAACCTACGATCGAAAGTTGGACCACACCCATCTCAGAATGGAATCAATCGGTGTGACTCCTTGATTCAACCCGGCTGGCCGTCCCAAGAGCATCCCAACCCATCCTGATGCTGGATTTGCCCTTGCGATGGCTGAGGGACCGTCCTTCCTCGTGCTTTGGCGATGACCAGCTCCGCATCCACGGCTTTGCTAAGACCTTTCAACGCGCCCTGCAGGCGTTGCACCTTTTCGATCACCGAATCCAAACAGGGATGGAGCCAAGTGGAGACCTCGGTCTTGCTTGCGGTGAACGGTCCGGTCCCCGGTCCGCTCATCTGAACTGCAGGGGTAGGGTAGGGTAGTAGTAGTAGTAGTAGTAGTAGTAGTAGTAGTAGTAGTAGTAGT